TACCCTACCACACCACCAGGGCTCCTGCTGAGAAAGTCGGGGAGGGCCTCTGAGCAACCCCAGAGCTCCCTCCAGCAAGCAGGCAAGAGCAGAAAAGAGTTCCACTCACAATGATGGGTATGGTGTTCACTCGGCATAGGATCTGTTTGACCAGCCGGTAGCGGTCATAGAGTGGCTTCATCACCTGCCGTTCGTTCTTCGTTACCTGCAAGGCAAGAAGACGAGAACTGAGACAATGGCTCATGGTGTTCATTCTGTCGGCGGTCCAAGCAGACCCTGGGGCCTGGCGTTCCAGGAGAGGACGCAGATAATTCACCAAGCCTGGCCATTCTCACACCACTTATTTATTTATTTAAGCCGAAAGCATTATTTAGTCCATAAATACATAAAATAGCTACTTCGGTTTGAGGCAATCACTTCCTCAGCAATATCGTTTTCCCTAAAACAAAATCTGGATCTATCAGTTTCTCTCCTTACAATTCCTCTGGATTAGAATTCCAAGATTATTTACTATTTTCTTCAGGAAAGGGCAAAAGCATGCATTCCTGTTAGCCTCTTTATCCTCTGGCTCTGTGAACAATTAATGTACATGTCTGCCTCGTGAAATTATTGTGTATGAAGGATGACACTGGCAAATCGTAGGGATTCAGGGGCTATCTGTGCTGACAGAATTTTGAACTGTGGCAGAGGGTTCCACCGCTGTTACTGACCCGAAGGACCGAGTCTTTAGCCAGTGGGAAGAGAGCAAAGCGGACTCTCCGCAGCAGTAGTTACAGCCACGCCGAGACCTCAGCTGGCTAAACATCTTCGTGGTCTGCTGCGCCTCCTCTTCCTCAGTTCTAGAACTGGGTTCTAGAACCCAGTCAGTCTCAGCTACTTGCCTAGCTCCTTCTCCTGGTCTGATCTCTTCTTTTCACTCTTCTGGCAAATTTCAGGTCAAGAACCACTACCTGTTCTGAGCTGTCTTTCAACACCCCCTGCCCCGGCCCTGGGGTCACGACGGCATCCTGAACACACCTTGTAATTTCACTGGCACGTTTACCCTGGGCGATAACTATTTGTCGTCAGATTTGTCTATTCCTTTAGACTGCAAGCACCTTGAGAGCAGGAGTCTATGCTTTTGTATCCCTTCTAGTTATTTCAGGAGTCCTAGTGGACTAATACTTGTTCCGTGTTAGGCTGCTAACGATAAGGTCAGCAGTTTGAGACCACCAGCTGCTCCGCAGGAAAAAGATGAGGCTTTGTACTCCTGTAAAGCTCTCAGAAGCTCACAGAGGCGGTTCTACTCTGCCCTTTAGGGTTGCTATGCGTCGGCATCAACTCAATGCAGTGAGTTGAGTGACTGTATCAAGGAGCCTTGGTGGCATTGCGGATTATTCTTTGGGGAGCTAACCTCAAGGCTGGTAATTCGAACCCACCAGCTGCTCTGTGGGAGAATGGTGAGGCTTTCTGCTCTGATAAAGATTTATACTCTTGGAAAGCCACAGGGGCAATTAGCTCTTCCCTGTCCTACAGGGTCACTCTGAGTGGCTATTTCAGTGCTGATATCATGGGACTATCTCTGTGAGATGACTGGGTGGGTATGTAAAACATCAGCCTACCAGTTTCTGTTGACTTGACCCTGACTCATGGCAATCCCGCACAGGATAGAGTAGAACTACGCTCATGGACAGGTAGGCCTAATTCACAGGTATGCATCGATAGCCATATTCATTAACTGGGGGCTCAGATGAAGTATCTTTGCCCTAAGTTTGGTTTTTGTCTTCAGCAATTTATTTCCATTCCACACAGAATACTACAGAAGGTATAGGGGTAAACAAGGGCAAATTGCACTGGCTTTGACCAATTTCTTATGGGCCTTTTGGGGCTTCAACCCTGGAGGCAACTCTACGTTATGTATAAAGGGATGATCATTTGCTGCCTTTTGTATATATCTGCTACAGACTGATCAACTATACTACACTTCAAATACTCCACAATATATGGTAGGATACTGACATCATGCTAAGACAGTTTTGTGGTTTACCATCTATTGTTAACACTAATAACAACAACGTTATCTCTATGCCTATTACGTTATTACAATATTAATAGGCAGATAGTTTTCCACTCTTCTGTCTACATCAGAACTCTGGTCACATAGTGGGCTACTCACTGGGCGGCTAACCAAATGTCGTGTTTCAAACCCACTCCGCGGGATAAAGATGGGCTTCCTGCTCCTGCTGCCAGTTACAGTCGTGGAAACACACAGGGGCAGGGCGACCCTATCCTGTAGGGTCACTATGATGAGCTTAAAATTTATGTTTCTTTAAAAAAAAGGACTGTGATGGCTGGAAGAAAACCAATTATTTTATATGCAATGGATTAAGGATCTGAAGGAAAAAATATTGCGAATCAAATGCAGGGATTACTAATACATTCCCACCACCCTAAGTAAAATATAAAGGGCAGAACCACGTGTCGGTGTGAATGCCAAGCAACGGTAGCCTTTCCTTCCCTGCTGCTGGGGAGGGCGGGACGCCCAGGACAACCACTGACAGTGTTCAAGGAGGCTGACCATCTAACCTGTTAACTCCACTCATGTGTACCAAGTGTACACCAAACGAACTAGACCTATTCACTGAGACATGCATATGAATCTTGATTCCAGCCTTGCTTACCCCAAACTAGAAGCCATCAAAATCTCATCAATGGAATAGATGGGGTCTGTTCCCACAGTTGAGCACTACACCCATCATAGTGAGACTGAAGAAACCATGAATTTCTTCTATCCAGCACCATCGATTAATCTCATGCCAATCAATGCTGAATAAAATTAGCCCCGGACGTGAAAGCTTATATATTGTACAAATCCACTTAAAAAACATTAAAAAAATAAGCAAAACTAAGCTATAACTTTAGAAGTCTAAGTATCATTGCCTTTGAGTTAATTCTCACGCATCACAATCCTATAGAGCAAGGTAGAATTGCTCCATACAGTTTCCAAGGTTGCAATCTCTGGGGTAGCAGGAGACTGCCTCATCTTTGTTCTGTGGAGTGGCTGGTGGGTTTGAACTGCTGACCTTTCAGTGAGCAACTGAATACTTAACCGCTGAGCCACCAGGGCTCCTTAGAAATCAAAGTAGTGGTTTCTAATTTGACCCAGTGGTTTAGTGATTATGTTAGCCTGCTAACCACAAGGTCAGCAGTTCAAACCACCAGCTGTTCCATAGGACAAGGTTTTCTACTCCCTTAAAGAGTTACAGTCTCAGAAACTCACAGGGGGCAGTTCTACCCTGTCCTTTAGGTTCACGAGGAGTTGTAATCTACTCAACAGCAGTGGGGTGGAGGTAGGATGATAAATAGGCTGTAGGGGGCTTGAAGAGGATTGCTTCTTTTTATTTTTATTTGAAATGAACTTGTTTGTCACGACAGAGCCCATTTCGGTTTTACTTTTCCTTTTTTATTTTCCCCACTCAGACTGCTCTTTAGGTTAAAGGGATAAGGAAGAGGATTGCTTCTTGATCTGGGTGCACTAATATTTGTGAAAATTCATCAAGAAAATACATTTGGGGCGCTTTTCTGTATTTTCAAAAAGTTCATGGGGAAAGTACATTATGCTTTAATTCCATAAATGTTATAATTATTTTGAATATATCATTCAATAAAAGTTCACTGGTAGCTAGGAGTAAGTTTGAAGGATAGAAATCAAGTGGCTTGTACAATGTCAGATATAAAATGATAAAATTTGGAATGGGAACACACACACACAAAAAAATCTTTTTTTTTTTTAAACATTTTATTAGGGGCTCATACAACTGTTATCGCAATCCATACACACATCAATTGTGTAAAGTGCATTTGTACATCATTCTCAAAACATTTTCTCTCCACTTAAACCCCCGACATTAGGTCCTCATTTTTCCCCTCCCTCCCCACTCCCCTCTCCCTCCTGAGCCCTTGATAGTTTATAAATTGGTATTTTGTCATATCTTGCCCTGTCCCACGTCTACATGCTATATCTATTAAGCATATTGCAGACGGGATTAAGGCAGGTCCTAACTGTTGTCACATGATGTGGTGAAATACAATATGTAGTGAAATACGATATACATGACAGACAACAGATGGTTTATTTATTACCCAAGGAACTCTGACTTCTAATAATGACAACAGTAACAAGTCAGCATATCCTGACTGCGGGCCAGCATGCTAGTCTAACTCAGTGATTTGGCAGAAATGTTTCTGGAAGTTAGGAGGAAATTTAGCCAGTCAAGTTAACCAAAATAAGACAAACTTGACAGAAATAAATTTCCTTTCTAATATTTTGTCCAAAAGGAAGTTTTCTAATTCTAGTATTTGCTTGTTTGAGTTTTTGGCTATGGCACTAATATTTAACTTGACTGGGTGGATCACAACACATTGAGAAGAGGGGAAATCAGAAGACCTCATTGTGCTCCTGCAGAACGTGCACTAGACCACGAGGCAGTAGTTTGAACAGAACCAGGGTGATATTTCATGGTTTCAAATCAGGAAAGGTGGCATCAGGGTTGTATATTCTCACAATACGTATTCAACCTGTGGGCTGAGCAAATAACCTGAGGAGGGGGACTACCCGAAGAAGACCACGGCATCAGCTTTGGGACTCATGAGCATCCTGCAGTGTGCAGATGGGTAACGCAAATGTATTTGTTGACAGCAATGGAGGTTTAAGTATTTACTGATAAACATCAAAGACATTTGACATCTGGCCTTTATTATGGCTTTTAACGCAACTCACAGAAAACAAATGTCCCCACACTGTACCAATAAGCAACATCACCATAATAAACACAGAAAAGCAAAACTGTCAAGGATTTTAGTTTCCTTGGCTCCACCATTGTTGTTCTTAGGAGCAGCAATCAGGAAATCAAGCATTGTGAAAATCTATTGCAAAAGACCTCTCTAAAGTGTTACAAAGCAAAGATGTCATTTTTCACCCAAGCCATGCTATTTCCAATGCGCTGTACGCAAGAAGATGGACAACTGAAAGGGAAGACCGAAGAAGAACTGACCCCTCTGAATTGCAGAGTCGGCAAAGAACAGTGACTGCACCACGGCTTGCCCGAGGAATGAACAAATCTGTGTTGGAAGAAGTATAGCCAGAATGCTCTTTTGAAACAAGGATGGAAGGATTTCATCTCAAGTACTGTGGACGTGCCATTAGGAGGAACAAGTCTCTGTAGA